CTTCTAGTTTGACTCACATGAAATGGTAAGCAGTGTTGTTTAGACAGTGGACATATATCACAGGAAAGATCATCTTTTATTTCAAGAGAGGGAACATGTTTAAGTGCATTTTGCGAAGGATGACCTAGCCTACAATGCCACAGGCCAGTTTTAGATTCTATCGCATTACAGGCAGTATGATATCTATTTTCGCAACTAAAAACAGATAAGAATCTAGGGTTTGCATAGAAATGAATGAAATTCATGATAGTGGAAAAAAGTGTATCAATCCTGGTTGTATTGGCTAGTTTACTAACCGAAATGAGATTGAACTTGAAATCAGGTATGTGTAAACAATCAGAAAGGGTTAAGGTACTCGAAAGGGTTGCATTTCCTATGTTTTCAACGTATTTTACACTCCCATCAAGTAAATATATAGGTGTTGGGTGTGATATGGGATGATAAGAAGTTAAAAGGTCTAAATCATTAGTCATAAATCCAGTAGCGCCTGAATCCATAAACCAACATCCAGGTTTGACCACGTCAACAGAATTAAGAATGAATTCATAATTCATACCTGTGAAATCCTTGTAGTGAGCAAAGTTCACAAGTTGTCCGTTGCCATCTGACTGAACTCTCTTCCCTTTTGCAATCTTGCTCATCTCCTGCTGTAGATAGCTGAGACTTCTCATGATAGCTTGAATGTTTTCTGGTCCCTGATGATGTGTGGAAGTCATCATAGATCTTGAGCTACCATTTCCATTATACCCCATGCTTGCAGTTCCATTGTACCCCATACTTGCAGTACTTGAACCACTGTATCCAGCATTGTTGTTTCAGAGGAATCATCTCCAAAGTAGTATCTACCATGTGTGCCATATGCTTTGAGACACCAGATTTCTTCGGACCCTTGTTGCTACCAGGAACCCTCCACCAATGAGGATAACCATGGATTCAAAAACAATTCTCCTGGCTATGGTTGCTCTTCTTGCATTGATCACACTAGAGTGCCTTTTTTTCTTCCTTGTGTGAGTTACCTTTCTGCACAAACATAGCATTGCACTGACTGCTTGGTGTACTCATGGTATTCAGCTGCATACGTGTTCCAGGTGAGGAAGCGATTATGGAATTCTGAGTCATCGTGGCACTTTGATCAAGAGAACCTGTGTAAATCATCTGCACGTTACACTGCTTCTCAATATCTGTCACCATTCCAAACGCAGCTCTCACATCTGGCAAAGGCCTCATAGCTAGAATCTGATTTTTAACTGCTTCGTATATCCCATTTAGCCCCATTAAAAATTACATCATCTTGTCCCTATCAACCTTTGAAGCATACCTATGATCCAATCTACAAGAACATCCACTGCAAGTACATACATCAGGTGGATCAAGGTGTGACAACTCATCCCACAGCTGTTTAATTCTGGTGAAGTAACTGGACAATGTCATGTTCCCTTGCGTTATAGAGCTGATTTCTCTCTTAAGATGATATATCCTAGAAGTATTAACACCTCCAAAATGCTGCTGTAGGTCTAACCATAAGTCCCTGGTATATTCTGCTAGTATGTACCCATCATGCAACTCTTTTGATAAGGAATTTACTGTCCAAGCCACAATCGTATTATTTACCCTAATCCACTGAGCATACTCTGGATTAGATACATGAGGCAGTGGATATTCACCATTTATGAACCCTAATTTATTCTTTGTGCCCAAATTCATACGCATAGCATGACTCCAGGAAATATAGTTCGACTCAGTGAGCTTCATACCAACAATTGACATTCTAGAATGATTAGACAGATGTAATGACAAAGGATGAGCATAGATACCTAGATTCTTGAGGTCATCTTCTCGGGAAATTGATCCTCATCTCTGGATGGACGGCGAGCCTCTCTCTGCTCACAATCATCGTCTTGATTCCTCTGAAATCGACCTTCATCTTCAAAAACGCGATGCGTTCTTTATTCGCCATTATCGCCTTCGTTGAATTGATCGGCCGTGATTTCTTCAAGAAAGCAAGTAATCGAGAAAGGGGAAAAAAATATAAAGGTGCGAAAATAAAATTGACAGCGGAAGGAATAACTGGAATCAATAACAGTAATGAAATCCGACGGTAATCAGGCATGACGGACCCGCTCTGATACCATCAAGAATTTAAAGAAATGGGATCTAGGGTTCTTAGAGTCGACATCATCAAAGAAAATTCAACTGTATAAACTGTATTATCTAGAATGATTCGTATCTGTACATGAGACTTATATACCTTAACTTAGTTGACTAGTCAGACTATTCTAATTACAACTAAGTCCTGTATGTGTGTACAGGTGTACAAATCAGTACAACTATTTACAACTACTACTATTTACAATTAACTCCTTATTTATATGTATCTATCATTCCCTCAAGTTGGAACTTGATGAAGATCAATCAAGCCCAACTTGGAAAGGAAATCTGTAAACTGAGGCCGGTTTTGAAATTTACGAGTAAGAAGGATGTGGTTTTGAAATTTACAAGTAACTTTCTTGAACTACCGAACATATGATTCCTTCCCTGAGTTCCCTTATAAACAAAAACAGTAGTTATTGCACTCTCGATCTCTGAATGTTTCAAATTGGTCCGAATTGTTTCTTGGTTAATTTGGTGTGATATCTTGTGTACTATATTATATGGTTGTTTTAATTTCAAATAAAATAATGTTTGCTGTGTAATTATAAAGACTGATAATGAACTGTTGATGTTATAACATTAATGTATTTTGGAAGTAGCTCCAATTTTATTACTCTCCCTGTCTCAAAATTATTGTGTAATTTGGATATTTACTTTTATTATAATTTAAACTAAAAATAAAAATTCAAACTAAACAATATTATCAGGACGAGAGAAGTAATATTATTTCTCGGCTGGGATCGATAAGATCGATCAAAACGAATTTAGAATGAAGGGTTCACGCAAAAGGGAAAAGCTCAACTCAATAAGATAACTAAGGAATATTAAAACGATCGTTTATTTAACTCTGACATTGAGCCAATAAATTTTCCAAGACGTTTAAATATTCTGTGAATACTCACTTATGATCATCAATATATTAACTAGTCTGAATTTGTACGGACTACGATAACTCAATATATATTTTTTTATTTTAGATCATACCTTTTCCTTTTATTCAATAATTTAGGACTAACACAATTGCAAACAAACTATATTTAACAAATAAATTACGTTCATTTCATCCTAGATGAATTTCGAGTTTGTATCTCAAGAAAGTTCACTCACAACTTTGTCAAACATATACTTGATCGGATGCAAATCGAGAAATGGCAGTATTGACTTAATTTTAAGAAAGAAAGAAAAGAAAAGATGGAATATAATACCTAATATATTATTTTTTTTATTTTAACTTGTTTTTTTTTGGTGAAGAAGACATTGTTTAAAGACAAAAGGGATCTATGGGCATTAGTAAAATGCATAAGGGGCTAATTGGAACGTACACAAAACAAATATTTGTATTCCCTATTAAAATGATTGTTTTATTTATTTTACTGAAAAAATATGCAAAAACTGCAACTAGACATCGGGACAAATTAAATACTCAAATAGGAGTAGGGTCTTTAATATTCTTCTGGCACTAAGCAGTTTATTAATCATTTTGCCGCCTGTTGGTTAAAAAGAAACGAAAAGGTATGCATCACCTTTTAAAAAATTCTAGTACATGAATAATGACCTGACCGACTTGTGTTTAGTTAAATCACCACCAAATTTTGACATCAATCATGAACGTTTACACAAGTTACATTAATACGAAGTTGTTCAATACAAATGAAGCATGATTTCTTTCTCATCGGCATATATATATATATATATATATATATATATATATATATATATATATTGGAAATTGAAGACCTGGGAAATCTATCAAACATGAATGTTACACGAGAAAGAGTTACTCTTTTGTCTAGAAAAATAGTAATACACTTTTGTTAAATTAAAGTAATACAATAAAGTGAATTATTCTCGTAAAATAATTCATTCCGTTGAACTGAAAATTTTGAAGTATAGAGCAAGAAATAAATATGATCAGAAGTAGGAAAGCAAGTTGCTGGGATTTACCTTTGTAGTACGTACTCCCTCTGTCCCAAAATTATTGTTCAGTTCGAGATCTCACTTTTAGTACAATTTGAACTAAAAATGAAAATCTAAACTGGACAATAATTATGGGACGGAGGGAGTACTAATTTGGCTCCAATATTTATAGACCAGTCCTTTTCCTTTCCCTTTTCCTTTTCCTATTAATTTCATCAGAATTCTACTTGAATAAAATATAATTAAGCCACTCAAACTATAATCAAAGTTTAAATATAATTTGACCTGTTACATTTACTTTGATAATAGTTAATTGATCAAACAACCTGCGGGTTTCAATAATCGTTGGTTTGAAGTTTGAACACATGACTAATACTTTCCCCGTCTCAGAATTATTGTTCAGTTTGAATTTTTATTTTTTGTTCAAATTGTACTAAAAGTAATCAAAGTAAAATCCCAAAGTGAACAATAATTTTAGGACAGACGGAGTATGTTTTTGAGTTTTTAGTAAAGTTTTCATACATAAATAATTGACCTTAATTAATAGATGTGATTTTATGGTTCTCAGATCACTTACAGAAAGCTCTGAGATGAAGATTGTAAATCTGTTCTTGTAAATGCAGCAGAGGAAGATTGTATTCGCGACGGTATAAGCAATAAGGAAGTTAAAGCTTTTTCATCTTCTCCTCTGTTTCTCAAGAACCAAAACAGATCAAATTAATCATTTTTCTGGACATGTTAAGAATTAAGACTGGATGTTAACCTTTTGCAAGTGATCAAAGTAGGAACAAAGTGCCATAAAACAGAGACATTTTCAAGGTCAAGAAACTTCAAGTTGTGAAAAATGGACTGGAAAGCTAAAACCTGTGTGTAAAAATTTCACTGGCAAATAATAGTAATCAGCAACACCCCAAAAGGGAAAAACAGGTCAATTACTCTGCTCCATAGGTCAATCGGCCGTCGCCAACGTCTTTGATCATCAGGCGCAGAGGCAGGGGAAGCGTATACCTGCTTTTGGAATTCCTCGGTGTTTTCCGGGGTCGAAATACTCTTTTGGGGAACATGAATGTTTCCCTGTTTTGATGGTTCGGATACCTGTATTCATCATACTCCAGATTCGAACTTTTTTGCCAATACAGATGCACAAACTTGTTTTCCTGAATAATATATCACCCCACAATTTGCAGACCCTTTTGCAGTTAGCTAGGGTTTCCAGTGGCAATGTGCTAAATATATGTCCATAAGTATGTCAACGGGGATTAATTTTCTGTTTCACGATCGCCATTGTAGTACTAGTTCTTCATTGATTGATTGCTCTCCTTTGAATAAGTTCTTAGATTCGGTTTCTATTCTGGAGAAAAACACTCTTCGTTTCACAAGCCTTTTTTTGCTTTAAGGTTAAAAAATGGCCATTTAATGCCTTTTGGAGGTGTGTAATTTCTTTTGATTTCTTCACAAATCGAGATGTGCCATTACTTGTGGTTAATAAGAAGGGTAGAAAATGCATGAAAATTACTGGAAAACTAAAAAATATAATAACTAGTCTGTCTCAAAAAATATACCCTCTCTCTGTTCCAGAAAAACCTCAAAACTCAATTGTGGATTGTATTCTTGGAGCGAAGAGAGAGAGAGTAATTCACATTGAATTTTGAGATTTGTACTAATGAGTAACACCACCACTACCACCACCGCAGAGGGGAAATATTGCTAAACGGACGGAGGATGTTTCTTGCCCCAACCTTCATCCATTTTCGCCACATCTTCTTCTCTTGTGGAGGATTTAGAGATCCATTGAAATTCGACAGGGTAGGAACATAAGCACTCAAAGAATATTTCCCAGCTGGAATTACGCGAATGTTTTTCTCTTGTCTAGTATGAATGTTATATCCAATGACATGGCCATCAGCTGGGAAAAACACCAACCCATCATCCCTGATGAGCCTCCTGGCCTAAGATTTTCGAGTGTCACCGGAAAATCGCAGAACAACGTCGAAGGAAGTAGCATCTTCATTTCCGACCATTCCCCTTTCTTGTAGTCTTCCAGTATCCACACTTGCAGCTGATCCATTTCCTTGTCTAAACCAGCCAATGCCAACTTCTGACGATTCCAGGGAGAGGGGCTCAATTGCCTGCGAAAATGTCCTGGGGAATTTGGGATGCAGTAAACTCTCTGTTTCTACTTCCAGGCAAATTACTTCATAGAAGCAATCTTTAGCAGCATTGTTGAAATGCCTAATCAGGAAGTAAAGGTCATTTATAGGTACGCATTTTGTTCTTTTCTCCCGGAAATTATAAAAGCTACATACACCATTATCAGGGGATCTCCATTGGAGATCATTCCCAACAGTGAGAACCCGGAAACGACCTCCAAATTCACTGCAAACAATCTTGTAACTGTCATTCTTTGGAAGGTGAAACATCACCATCTGCAGTGCTTTTTCCACATCAAATCAGAATTTGATTTGTAACCCAAACACTCTTGTACTACAACTTAAGGAGCGGATTTAAAATATTTCTACAATAATGGTTTTGAGATTTATTGTCAGATTCAATTTTTAAAAGTATACATCAAGTTCGTATATATTTAATAATAAAAATATAATAATCTCCGAGGGATACATGGTTTCTCTCCTAAGGTCCAGGACCAACCAATAATCTAACACCCCCTTTAACATTAAGTTCACTTATCAATCTCAGTAGCTATATACTTCTTCCGGTCCTTATTATAAGACATTAGTTGTATTCTCTTAATTATTATAAAATATTTTAAGATTTTTATTCCAATTAAAAAAAATCTTAGGTGAAACTTAAGACGAAATCAAAATGCCCTATAATAAGGACCAGAGGCAGTACATCAATAAACATAGTTATCCATTTGACAATGTAAGAATTCGAGAATGTTTTCAAGATTTCTTACATTGTTCTTAAGTTTTCAATTCACGCTCAAGACAACAAACAATTTCAGTAGTTGAGATACACATTTGTTGTAATACAAGTTCAGGTATTCTAACATATGAGGGAGCACACTGTTAGTTTAGTGATACTTCCTCCGTCCTATACTTATTTCCAATTTGGATTTTCATTTCTAGTTCATATTGTACTGAAAGAAAAATTTTAAACTGAATAATAATTTTGAGACGGAGGGAGTAATAAGTTTGTCACGAGGACATGTCAAAGAGCTGAATTTGCAATTTTTTCAAAAAATTCATGGTAGAAAAAAAACATAGAAATGCATAAGTCACAGGAAAGCTAAAACAATGTGGAATGAATTCCATAGGCCACACTCATACTAATGAGTAATACCACGAGTCCACCGCAAAGGTAAAACAGGTGATCAGTGAAGCAACTGAAGACATGATTTCTTGCTCCATCCTCAATCCTGAGCTGTTTCTCTTCTTCTGGAGGAGGGAATAGAGCGCCGTTCAGATTCGACAGGATGGGAATATAAATGTACCGACACGTCCCGGCCGGGGGTACGAGCCTGGTTTTTTCTTGTCTAGTTTTAATGTTATATACAAGGAGACTGTGATCTGCCCGGCAAAACCACAACCTGTGATCTTCTGATGACAATGGCCTAAGATTCTTGAATTCCGGTGGGAAATCGCCGAATAACGTAGAAGGACGTAATATCTTCAATCCCGACCATTTCTCTGAATTCTTGTAGTCTTCCAGTATCCACAAATGCAGGTCAGTTCCCTTCTCCAGATCGGCAAGAGCCAACTTCTGCTTCCAGGAAAAGGGCTTCACCGTCTGCGAAAATGTCTTGGGAAATCGGGTATATTTTTAAAGTTTCAGTTTCCACTTCCACGCAAACTACTTCGGCGAGAAATTTCCGAGGGGGAAATATAATTATCAATTGTTGGCCTAAAAGAGGAAGTAAACATCGTCTGCATTTAACGCGACAGCTGATAATGTCTTAAATGTAACACCTAGTTCCTCAGCTTCAAGGGCTCTCCAATGGAGATCAGTCCCAACAGTGAGAACCCGGAAACCGCCTCCGTTTGTACAACAAATTATCTTGTACTCTCTCCGTCCCATAATTATTGTCCAGTTTGGGTTTTCAATTCTAGTTCAAATCGTACTAAAAGTGAAATCTCAAACTGGACAATAATTTTGGGACAGAGGGAGTAATTGTCAGTTTTCGTAAGGTAAAAAATCTTCCTGAGCTCCTCGTATTCGCGGCCGTCGCCGTCGGGAACTTGAGGCAGGGGAAACGTGTGCTTGGTTACAGGATTCCTCAATTGGAGTTTTCCAGTCAAATCACACTTCTCCGAAAACACACCGCCCATGCAATTGAGCAATCGGAATGTTTCCTTGTTTCGATCCGTCACGATTCTGTTTAGATCCTCGTACACAATCTCCTGTTCGGAATTTCTCAGGTGATGCACTTCAAGAACTTGTTGTCCTGTATAATGGCACGCCACAACTTGCAGACGAGTTTGCAGCGACATAAAGTTTCATTTGGGACCGTGCTTAATATCTCCATAATTATTTCAATGGGGAGATATCTGTCTGTTTCGCAATCGTTTTTGTTGTTGTTATTCATATCTCCTTGAAGCTCTGTTTTTAACTTTTATAGCTCTGTAATTTGGTGGGAAATAATCTTCGGCTGGTTTTCCCGACGCCTTTTCCTCTCTTAAGATTCTAAACGATCAAATCCAACAAGGATATATAAATTGAGGGGCCAAGAAGGACAGAGAGACGTCCAAGCGGAGTCGTACGGTGGTTGACGGCGGCGGAGGTGTTGGCCGGAAGAGAGAGGAGAGGATATCTAATTGATCAGTTCTGCTAAAGCCAAAATAAACAGTACTAGTGTACTACTACTAAATTCGCCCTAAAATTTGTACATATTCTTCAGAATTTGACCCGTTAAAACATGGTTTTACATAGACCGATTCCACGAGTCTATCACGGGCATGATTATTCGTTGACTAGCTAAGTGGACCAATCAAATTCTAAAAGAGGTCCAAACCCATTAATTTTTTTTTTGGTCCATACCCATCAATAGCAAAGTACATATATACCATCCAAAATATTCACATATATACTCTAGTTTTGGAAGCTTAAGCCGGTCTGTTTGATACCACAACTTAATGTTTGAAATTGTTTTACTAAACACTTTTTTTTTGTAAAATAAAGGAGGTACTAAACACTCTTTTAATTAAAAACATGTTTGATAATAATAATAAAAATAATCTCTTAATAAATTAAGTTGCTGAAACTTTAGTACAAAATATAAGCAATAAAAATTAGCTTATTACTTATTCCACAACTGCTTAATGAATTCGTTCTTTCTAACTCCGTATCAAACATTATTTTTTATCAAACAGAAATAGCTTATTTCTATCTTACACTTGGTACATTTTCTGGATGATCCAGTCATAATCGAACCCGCCACCTCTTATTAACAATCATTCCTTATCTTAATTCCTTAGTAAATATTATTATGTTTTATACTAAGATAGACCTACTAGCCAGAGTACTAAACTTTGTCTTGTAGGTTTTTGATCCAGCAATCTCTATTGACTCGTCGATGTGTATATTTTGTCTTCATCAGAAATACCATAGACAGTTGTTTTTCTAGTTCACCACAAAAAGTATAGATTTCAAGCTACATGAACAATACATATCTCGTGATTAGAAAACTATGAAGAATCCCCATACATTGGTAAAAGTCTACAGTAATTTTTTTAGGGAAAAAGACAACCCCCGAATTATGTCCCAAATATTAATACCACCTCGACCTTAGCTATAAGGACAATTACCCCCCTTGACCACCATTCAACGGCATAATTGACCCCCCTTAGGACAAAAAGGACAAAAAAATATGTATGAATGACAAAAATACCCTTTTCACCTTATAACAAATTTTTGTGGCCACATTTTTTCAAAAACCTATTTTGTTTAACGAATCGTCAAAGATTTATTTAAGGATAAGACATTTACCAATTTTTCTTAAAAAACTACCTTTTTTGAACAAAATTAATTTGAGTAAAACCTAATTTATCTATGGAAATTTCTTTTTTAAAAAAATGATGGACTTTCAACCATATTCCACATTGATTTTAATAACAATGGACAAATTTAAAACACGAATAAGGTTGAAATTATGCTTTTTGGACAAATTATATCCTTTTTTGGAAACAAAAATTCAATCCCAAATAAATTAATTTTTTTTACTAAAATTAATTATTTTTTTTAAAAAACTTTTAACAAAAAAAAAAATATTTTTTAAAATTTTTTTTTAACAAAAATTGGAGAATAATGTTCCTAAATAAATTGTTCAAATGATTTGTTAAACAACATAAGCCATTGAAAAAATAGAGAAGATAAAATATGGATCAAAAAATTATTTTTAGGCAAAAAGGGTATTTTTGTCAATTATGGCGGTCAAGGGGGATAATTGTCCTTATAGAAAGGTCGTGGTAGTATTAGTGTTTGGGACATAACTCGAGAGTTTTTGTCCTTTTCCCATTTTTTTTATCACCTTTTATACCATTCTTTGAATTTTTCTTATGTACTTAAATGAAAAACATTTCATTCTTTCTCTTTTTATTTTTTTTCTTTGTTTTCCTTTTTATTATTATTATTTTTGTTTTTTGCTTACTTTTCATTTTCAAAGGTGATGCATCCATGTATAAGCCTAGAACAGCGATCAAAGGCCAAGTTCTAAATTGCGTTTCCCATGAAAGCGTATGTACTCTCAAATTGAGAGAGTTGAAATATTGCAGAGGAAAGAAGTTGTGCAAAGTTTTGTACTAAAAATAAAAATTTTGACAATTATTTTAACACGAGGAGTATAGTTAGATGTGATGACCAAAATGATGATTTTTTCATAAATCAGAAACCTTTACATCATCTCAGCAAACTATTAATATTTTCTCTCAAATTTTTTTTAAAAAAGAAAAGAAAGTGATAGTGAATTCATTTTGTAGAAAGCTCAGTAACTGATCAATGCTGAACATTTGAAAATGCAAAAAAATTTTCAATCTTCACTCTTCTCTTAGGTATCTGCAAACACATTATGGAAGTCAGTGAATCTGTATGTAATGTATCAGTATCACCAAGTAAATATTAATACTGATGAGTAAAACTGAAGACGGTTCTCACTCAATCCTCTCAATTCAACTGGCAAATATCATTCCTAAATGGATTTGAATACAATCAGATCTGTATTACGTCATTCACATATAACAATGTCCTTTTTTTTTTTTTTTTTTTTTTTCACTTTCGTATTAAAAGATACATCAAAATTACAATTTTTCTACAGCTTTCTTTTCACCATAAACTGTACTGACAGCGAGGAACAATCAGCACACAATCCAATTATAAAGATAAAACATAATCATCATGCATTTGACAATGTAAGAAATTCGAGGTTGTATTCAAACTTTCTTACATTGCTCTTAATTTTTGCAATTCCTTTCTTTCGGTTTAGGGTTTAGGGTTAAGTTGGGACAGATCTAACATACTCAAGCATACTGTTAGTTCAATAATAATTAATGTCTGTCATAAGAGAAAGTTAAAGAGCTAGATTTTCGAATGTAAGAAAGCATAGAAGTGCATGTATAAATCCCTGTAAAGATAACACAATGTCTAATGAATTTCACAGGCCAATAGTACTAATAAGTAAATCGACCGCAAAGCGCAAACAGTTCAGTGAAGCAACTGAGGACATGATTTCTTGCTCCATCCTTAATCCTCAGCCATTTCTCCTCTTCCGCAGGAGGGATTAGAGCTCCGTTTAGATTCGACAGGGTGGGAAAATAACTGAACAAAAGCGATTTTCCGGCCGGGGGTACGTGCGTGGTTTCTTCTTGCCCAGTTTTAATGTTATATTCAAGGACACAGTGATCTGCTCTACAAAACCACAACCTGGGATCATCTTTCACGTTTGATGATGAGTATGGCCTAAGATTCTCGAGTTTCCATGAAAATTCGCGGAACAATGTCGAAGGAAGTAGTATCTTCATTTCCGACCACTTCCCTGATTTCTTGTAGTCTTCCAGTATCCACAAATGCAGCTCCGTTCCCTTCTCCAGATCGGCCAGAGCCAACTTGTGATTCCAGGAAAAGGGCTCAACCGCCTGCGAAAATGTCTTGGGAAATCGGGTATATTCTAAAGTTTCAGTTTCCACTTCCAGGCAAAATACATCAGCAAAACAACTTCCAGGGGCAATATTATCAAGTATTGGCTTAATGAGGAAGTAAACATCATCTACCTTTACATCTGATAATGATAACAATGCTTCCTTCTTAGATGTCTGAAAGAGAACACCTTTATCATCAGCTTCAATGGCTCTCCAATGGAGATCAATCCCAACGGTAAGAAGCCGGAAACCGCCTCCCGTTTTACCACAAACAATCTTGTAATTGCCAGTTGTTGGAAGGTAAAACATCCTCATGAGCTTGTATCCGAGGCCGTCAGGCAGCGGAAGCGAGTGCTTGGTTACAGGATTCCTCAATCGGAGTTTTCCGTTCAAATCACACTTCTCCAAAAACACACCGTCGACGCAACACACCAACCGGAATTTGTCCTTGCTTAGATTGTTCGCGTTTTTCTTGGTTAGATCCATGTATATATACACCAGATTGGAATCCTTTTGGCGATACAGCTTCCAGAACTTGTCGTCCTGTATAATGGCACGCCACGACTTGCAGACGAGTTTGCAATGAACTAAAGTTTCCATTGGGACTGTGCTTAATATCTCCATAATTATTTCAATGGGGAGATACCAGCAGTTTGTTTTGCTACCGTCTATTTCATTATTATTAGTCATATCTCCTTCGAGTTCTCTGTTTTAACTCTGTATTTTGGTGGGAAAAAAAACTCCAGCTGGTTTCCCCCTCGCCTTTTCTTCTAAGGTTCTAAGCAATCAAATACAACCAGCGTCAGAAGAAATAAATAGAGGGCCCAAGAAGAAGGAGAGAGAGACGTCCAAACAGAGTCGGAAGATGGTCGACGGCGTCGGTGGTGACTGATGACCGCCGGCGGAGGGGGTGGCTGAAACAGACCTTGGGGATATCTAATCAAATCAGTAACCACTACAGCCAAAACCAACAGTACTTCGACTACTAATTTCGCCCTGGAAATTTGTATCAATCCTTTTTCCACGTCTAACCAGAATTTGATTTGTAACCCAATCACTCTTCTACTACAACTTAAGGAGCGGATTTAAAGATATAACAATTTGAGGTTTATTTTTTAGATTCAATTTTCAAAAATTACGTATCAAGTTCCTATATTTATAACACAAAAAGAATCATTAGAAAAAAAAAAAAAAAAATTCCGAGGAGATCCATTGTTTCTCCCCTTAGGTCCCTGATCCACTAATAATTTTCGGTAATACCACAAAGAGAAAACAGGTCAGTGAGGTAACTGAATACACTTCTTTCTCCATCCTTAATCCTACATAGCTTCTATCCTTCTGGAGGATTTAGGGTTCCTTTGAGAAGTATGGAATAATATTTTCGAGTCAACCGCCAAACAACGTGGAAGGAAGTAATATCTTGATTTCCGACCATTTCCCTGATTTCTTGTAGTCTTCCAGTACCCACACATGGAGCTCCATTCTTTTCTCTAGATTGGCTCTGATTCCAGGGAAAGGCCTCAACTGGCTGCGAAAATGTGCTTGGAAATCGCGTATATACAGAAGCAATCTCCAGCACTACCATTATGAAAAAGTCCAATTACGAAGTAAAAACCCTCTACAGCTACAGCTGATAAATCATCTTCATCCTCACTATATGATGCCGACAAAGTTAAATACTAAATGGGAAATGAAAAAGCTTAAGGAAAAAGATGGAGCTATAGAATTAACAAACAATTTCGGTAGTTGAGAATTTGAGAAACACATTTTGTAATACAAGTTCAGGTATTCTAATATATAAGAGCATAATGTTAGTTCAATGAGAATAAGTCTGTCACGAGGACAAATCATAGAGCTGAATTTACTATTTATTCAAAAAATTCATGATGGAAAAAATCATAGAAATGCACAAGTCACAGGGAAGCTAAAACAATGTAGAATAAATTCCATAGGCCACAATAATACTAATGAGTAATACCGCGAGTCCACCACGAAGGGAAAACTGGTGATCAGTGAAGCAACTGAAGACATGATTTCTTGCTCCTTCTGGAGGGATTAGATTCCCGTTCAGAGTCGACAGGGATGGAACATAACTGTACCGAAACGATTTCCCGGCCGGGATTACGAGCCTGGCTTGTTCTTGTCCAGTTTTAGTGTTATATACAAGGAGACAGTGATCTGCTCGGCGAAGCAACAACCAGTGATCTTCTTCTGCAATTGGCATAAGATTCATGAGTTCCGGTGGAAAATCGCCAAACAATGTCGAAGGAAGTAGTATCTTCATTTCCGACCATTTCCCTGATTTCTTGTAGTCTTCCAGTACCCACAGATTCAGTTCCGTTCCCTTCTCGAAAGAGGCCAGAGCCAACTTCTGATTCCAGGAAAAGGGACCAACCGTCTGCCAAAATGTCTTGGGACATTGGGTATATAGTAACGTTTCAGTTTCCACTTCCAGGCAGACCACATCGGAGAAAAAATGTCCAGGCGAAATATTATCATCTGTTGGCCTAATGAGGAAGTAAACATCATCTGCATCTACAACTGCCACAGTTGATAATGCCGGAAATGTAACACCTTGCTCATCAGCTTCTTCAATGGCTCTCCAATGGAGATCCATGCTAACAGTGAGAACCCAGAAACCGCCTCCATTTTTACAGCAAATTATCTTGTAATTATCAGTTTTTGGAAGGTAAAACATCCTCATGAGATCGAATTCTTCGCCGTCTCCGTCCGGAACTTGAGGCAGGGGAAGCGTGTGCTTGGTTAAAGGATTCCTCAATTGGAGATTTCCAGTCAAATCAGACACCTCCAAAAACACACCGTCGACACAATGGAGGAATAGGAATGTTTCATTTCTTAGATCATTCGCAGTTCTGTTCAGATCCTTGTACACGATCTCCAGTTCGGCATTTTTTCCATGCAACTTCGAGAACTTGTTGTCCTGTATAATGGCACGCCACAACTTGCAGACAAGTTTCCAACGACCTAAAGTTTTCGCATGAACCCTGCTTAATATCTCCATAATTATCTCAATGGGGAGATATCTGTCTGTGGCCCTATCGTTTTTGTTATTGTTATTCATATCTCCTTCAAGCTCTGTGTTAACTCTGTATTTTGGTGGGAAAATAAACTCCGCCTGGTTTCCCTCGCCTTTCCTCTCTAAGGTTTAAACGATCAAATTCAACAAGTATAAGAATAGATAAATTGAGGGGCCAAGAAGGACAGAGAGATGTCCTACCGGAGTCGAAGGTGGTTGACGGCGGCGGATGTGGTGGCCGAAAGAGAGAGGACCCTAATATTTTTACCAATTCCATGTAAAACATGGTTTTATTATATGGACCGATTCCACGAGTCTATTCACGGGCTTGATTATTCGTTGACTACTAAGTGGGCCAATCTAATCCTAAAAGAGGAGAAAATCTAATATATACAAATATATACCTAACTTTTCAGTACAACCAACCAATAGTAATTAATATTTGATTTTTTGACTTCCATAAATTTTTTCCCCTCTCCTATAAAAATATTATCTTTCCCGTTTTTGTATATAAGATGTATAGCTGACGTCTGTACTGTAGATTTACTCCTATAAAGGTCCAAACCCTTTAATAGCGGAGTATATTCCATCCAAAATATACACTCTCATTTTAGAAGGTTGAAGCAGGTTGCTGCTACTCTATAGTACATATTATTATGTTTTATATCGAAATTGACTTATTAGTCGGAGTTCTAATTTTTATTTTGCAGGGTTTTAAGTCTACCAATCGGCAATCTCGTCACCGTGCATATTTTGTCTTCATTAGTAACCCTATCGGTGATCATTCTTCTAGTTCACCTTAAGAAGTAATTTTTTAATTGTTATCGATAATAGACCAAACTATATGAAAAAGAACAAAGTACATATGCCCGTGATCTAGAAAAATACGAAGAATCTACATTGGCAAAACTTGTAAGATCTACGTGGACTTATACACTAAATATATAATTGTATGTTATACACTATCATAAAATACTAGTCTATATAAAGTGATCTAATTAAGTTAAGTAAAATTTGGACTAATTATAATAATTAACCTATAAGGTGTGGCCCAGTATTGTGTAGAAACCCTAAGGCTCAGTTTCCTATTCTGTGATGGGTGGAACCAGAAACCCTATTATATATTGGTTGTGGTCCTTGGATGAGCCGTCATGCCAAATCTCTGCTCTCCATTAATTAGAGATTCCCGTAAGGATTAGACGGAATCATCTGGAAGACCAAATCGAATCGATATTCTTGTCTCTACAGATTAAGGTACGCTTCCACTTTCATATAATTCTCGATAATCTGATGCGAAGGTCTCTACGGTATACGGATTTAACCCTACAAATGTCATAAAGTAATTACTTATTACCGTTTATACCTTTTTTTGAATTTTTCTTAACATTTCATTCTTTCTCTTCTTATTTTATTGTATTTTTCTTTATTTCCCTTTTATTCTTTTTTTTTTTTTTGGTTACTTTTCAATTTCAAAGGTGATGCATCCAAGTATAAGTATAAGCAGAGCTGGCTCAACGCATGTTGAGACTTTAAGTTAAATTTTAATTTGGGGCTTCTAGTAGTCGGATTTAGATAGATAAAATTTTTATTAAAATATTTTAAAATTTCGATACAAATAATTTTATGAGATAACTAAAATACAACATATTTTGCATGTCAAAATATTTATGTTAGTATAGCTTTTTTATTATCTTTTCAATAATTATAATAAAATAATTTTAAAAAATAATTATAGTATATAAAATCCTAAAAAATAAGGTCTTAAATAATATGAGTCCTAAAGTTAGAGCTTTACTAACCTACCCCTAAGGCCGGCATTGAGTATAAGCCTCGAACGGCGATCAAAGGCCAAGTTCTAAAAGATACATTGTAGTTGAGATGCCAAAGCCAGTTGGCACAATGAACAGCTTAGGCAAAACACGTAATAGGATTCTGAAAATAATATGTTGGCGGGTTGTAGTACGCTTATGAGAGAGTAATTTGATTTGAAGTAGAAAACACTTCGTCTCGCACGAAACCGTATGTACTCTCAAATTGAGAGAATTGAAATATGGCAGAGGAAAGAAGTTGTTGCAACATATTGTACTAAAAGAGGCTACAAGGTTAGTGAAACCTGTTTTGGTCTGACCACGATAAACGGTTTCTACTCTTGATTAATTATTCTTTTTTGTTTCAATAAAAGAGACATATGCCTAAATCTAAACTATTACATTACTGGGATACGAAACCCGGATAACATCATGCTGGAGCCATGCCTTAACCCCAACTGGAGGGTCCTCGAGCCAATGCACCCCACCTCGAGCCATCGTTAGCGGCTCTTGAATAATTATTCTAGCTTGGACTTTCAGAATGCGGGATGAATTTTTGGAATTCTGGCAGCGCTAAAACCAACCTTGTAGTTTCATAGAAGGCAATAATGATGCTAGAGAGACAACAATTAATCAAAGCCTGAATCGACTCAATCGGACCTCCATAGACAATATTTTCCAGTACACCCAATGATTCTCACGAAGTAAAATACTAAATGCCAAAAAGCATCCCCTTTAACATTAGGTTGACTTGCAATTCAACCTCAGCAGCTATATGCATATAACAATATAAGAGATTCGAGAATGTAGTCAAACTTTCTTACATTGTTCTTCAGTTTTGCAATTCACGGTCAAGACAACAATTTCAAGAGTTGAGATACACATTTTATTCTAACAATAAGAGGATCAATAATAATAAAGTCTATCATAAGAGCAAGTTAAGGAGCTAGAAAGCATACAAGTGCATATATAAATCCCTGTAAAGATAGAACAATTGTGTAATGAATTTCACAGCCAATAGTACTAATGAGGAATACGACTACAAAGGGAAAACAATTCAGTGAAGCAACTGAAGACATGATTTCTTGCTCCATCCTTAATCCTCAGCCGTTTCTCTTCTTCTGCAGGAGGGATTAGAGCTCCATTTAGATTCGACAGGGTGGGGAAATAACCGCACAAAAGCCATTTCCCGGCCGGGGGTACGACCCTGGTTACTTCTTGTCTAGTTTTAATTTTATATTCAAGGACACAGTGATCTGCTCGGCGAAACAACAAGATGTGATCTTCTTTTGAGGTCGATGACCATGGCTTAAGGTTTTCGAGTTCCGGTGGAAAATCGCGGAACAATGTACAAGGAAGTAGTATCTTCATTTCCGACCATTTCCCTGATTTCTTGTAGTCTTCCAGTATCCACAAATGAACCTCTCTTCCCTTCTCCAGATCGGCTAGAGCCAACTTCTTATTCCAGGAAAAGGGCTTAACCGCCTGCGAAAATGTCTTGGGAAATCGGGTATATACTAAAGTTACGGTTTCCACTTCCAGGCAAGCTACTTCAGCAAAACAATTTTCAGGCCTAATGAGGAAGTAAACATCATCTATATCTACAGCTGAGAATGATAATAATGCTTCCTTCTTATTAGATGTGTGAAAGATAACACCTCCATCAGCTTCAATGGCTCTCCAATGGAGATCAATTCCAACGGTAAGAAACCGGAAACCGCCTTCCCTTTTACCACAAACAATCTTGTAATTGCCAGTGGTTGGAAGATGAAACATCCTCATGAGCTTGTATCCCCGGCCGTCGGGCAGGGGAAGCGAGTGGTTGGATACAGGATTCCTCAATCGGAGGTTTTCCATTCAAATCACACTTCTCCAAAAACACACCGTCTAGATAACACAGTAATCGGAATTCGTCCTCGCTTAGATTATTCACGTTTTTCTTGGTTAGATCCATGTATATATACATCACATAGGAATCTTTCCGGCGATACAGCTTCCAGAACTTGTCGTCCTGTATAATGGCACGCCACAACTTGCAGACGAGTTTGCAGTGAACTAAAGTTTTCATTGGGACTGTGCTTAATATCTCCATAATTATTTCTATGTGGAGATACCTGTCTGTTTTGCTACCGTCTTTGCCATTATTGTTCATATCTCCTTCAACTTACTTTTGGTGGGAAAAAAACCTACTGCTGGTTTCTCCCTCGCCTTTGCTTCTAAGGTTCTAAGCGATCGAATCTAAAAAGCATCAGAAGAAATAAATAGAGGGGCCAATAAGAAGGAGAGAGAGCCGGAAGGAGGTGGTCGCGGGCGGAGGTGGTGGCTGAAACAGAGGAGGGGCCGTGGGGATAATATCTAATTATTAAATCGTACTCCCTCTGTCCCAAAATTATTGTCCAGTTTGAGATTTCACTCTTAGTACAATTTGAACTAGAAATGAAACTCAAACTGAATAATAATTATGGGACGGAGGGAGTACAATAAACTACTACTAATTTCGCCTTACAATTTGTACCAATCCTTTTTTCCATATCCTAAGCAGAATTTGATCTGTAACCCAATCACTCTTGTACTACAACTTAAGGAACGGATTCAAACATATACACAATAATGGTTTGAGGTTTCTTTTTAGATTCAATTTTTTAAAAATTATGATGTTCCTATTACACAAAATATTATTTTAAAAAAAAAATCTCCTTGGGGATCCGTTGTTTTCCCTAAGGTCCAGGAACTGAAGACACTTGTTGCTCCATCCCTGATCCTCCTTGGTATAAGTTTCTCTGCTTGTGGAGGATTTAGGGTTCCGTTTAAATCCAAGAGTGTGGGAACATAAGTGCACCACACTATTTTCCCTGTTCGAGGTATGTGCACGGTTCCTTCTTGTCTAGTATTAATGTCATATCGGAGGATGTTGTGATCAGCACGGGAAAACAACAGCCATTCACCATCAGTGAAGTATGGAATAAGATTTTCGAGTTCCGGTGGAAAACCGCCAAACAATGTGGAAGGAAGTAATATCTTTATTTCCGACCACCATTTCGATTTCTTGTAGTCTTCCAGAACCCACACATGTAGCTCCATCCCTTTCACCATATTGGCAAGAGCCAACTTTTGACTCAATCGGCTGCGAAAATGTGCCGGGAAATCGGGTATATACAGAGTCCTCTGTTTCTACTTCCAGGCAAACTACATCAGTACTGAAGCAATTTCCAGCAGCATTACCAAATTTTCCAATTAAGAAGTAAACACCATATACAGCTATTGCTAATAAATCAGCTTTCTCACTATATGTACCAAAGCTACCACCTTCAGGGGATCTCCAATGTTGGAGATCAATGCCAATGGTGAGAACCCGGAAACCGCCGCCACTTTTAGCAAACAATCTTGTAATTATCAGTGATTGGAAGGTAAAACATCACCATGAGCTCGAATTCGCGGCCGTCTCCATCGGAAAAATCAGGCAGGGGAAGCGTGTGCTTGGTGACAGACTTTTATCTTTCATTTTGGTGGGAAACATTTTCAAGCCAATGGAGAGGTTTTTGTCCCTCAACACTAAATAGCTAGCTGTTTGTTACATAATATAGCCAGCTGTTTTGATGCATTTTGATGTAATCTGTGCAAAAGATAAAAGGATCGACTACATTATATGAGTTGCATGTTGTGTAAAAGATTACTAATGATAGTTGACACAACGCTAACTTGCAAAGAAAGCATATAAGAACAACATTATGTACAAAAACCAAAGAAACCTTTTCAATTATGAGCCAACCATTCCATCCAAATGAAGTTAAATTCTTTTTTGTTGTTTTACTCAAGCCAACAAAGCAGTGATTTTTAAGATATGATCTTGTCAATCAAGAAGTTTTTTTCTCTAAAAAAACGATAATCACCATTATATAAAAAAAACACTAATTAACCGAAGAGTTACATTAACAACAAAGTAACGCAATCAATTATAGTTGGGTAAGTACAATATTAATGTAGATTCCCTTGGTAATTTTGCTTTTATATTTCATACACAATTCCGACTTGCAGAGTCTTTTCTGGTGGAATTCGAACTCGTGTCAAATTAGAACTGCAATTCTTCTCAAGGAATTTGTACACATAATCTATGGCGAAACGATCAAGCCATCCATTACCCCTTTTTGCCCTAAGTGCCATCCTCCCCATCACAAAAACTGTTCCATATTCTGCTTCAAATGAATCAAAACGTTTCTGCTCTATCATGTTGCCAAAGGAATCTCTTGATTCAGCCAATATTGTGATAATTTTATGAGTTTCTTCTTCCAAGTTCAAGAAATCCATGTATCCCAACTTAATCAAACAAAAATAAATCCTTTCATCTCCCAGCTTCTCCACATTATATCTTTCATCAGGCAAGACAGTATCAATAGGCAGGGTTTTAATAGTCAGAAACACGACTATTTCTCGAACACATCTAGCATTCTGGATGTAATGTCCAACAACTGGAAGAATCCCATAAGCAATGTCTGTTAAGAAGAAGCAAATTCCTGGCGTTCGACAAATTTGTGGGCTTGAAATCATTTGATTTAGTTCAAGAGGACTAATGGCGCATTCTGTTTCGTACTTGATTTGTTTGTTCCTTCCATATCTCCATGATAGGATAATTGTGACAAGTAAAGTAGATATGGCAAATGGAACCCAGCCACCTTGAGGAATCTTGTTAAGAAGTGAAGTCATGAAGATTCCTTCTATCAAAATGTATGGCACAAAGAAAGCCAATACTAGAAGAATGTTGTAATTCCAAACGACCAGCATCACCAAAGTTGTCAACATTGTTGTTATGATCATCACCCAAATGCAAACAACCCCTTCATTTCAAACACAAAAAAAAGGCATTAAACAAGTGTAATAGCTTAATATTTCATTTAGAAAATAGTATATCACCCAAAGGGTCCTTTAATTTGGTGTTTCAATCCATATTTTGATCTTGAATAAGTTCTAAATCAATCTCGAATCTTAGTCATTATAATTCGGATCAAGGAGATCATCAAGTCAAAAAGTCAAATTCGATATGCATCAAATTTGACTTTTTGACCCAACTGTGTCATTGATTACAACGATATTTGAAATCTATTAAAGACTCTCCATCCCCAAGAAAATTTACCATACTTACAAACATAACCTTCTTAAGCAAACAATGAGTTAAGGGACCAACCATAAGCATTAGCCAAAGCAGTGCCACCTTGGAATCCAATGACTAAACCAACACAAAGAATCATCAGGCCGTAGTTGATTTCTGGACAGTAAACTTGTCCTTGGTACTTGGAAGAGGTATGAATCACGGAAACTCGAGGGAAACAATCGAGTTCTTGAGATTGTTTCATGATAGAAAAAGTTGCAGATATCATGGACTGGCTTGCAACAATGGCTGCTAAGGTAGAGATCGCGAACATTGGCCAATACACACAACTTGGGAGGGAACTGTAGTATGCATTGGCAATATTTTCAGGGTATTTTATTAGGTAAGCGGTTTCACCGGCATAGGCAATAATCAAGGATGGATAAACCAGAAATGAGTAAGACCACTGCATCAAGAACAAGCAAAATCATTACTTGATTACAGACAAATGATAAATTATTCTGATACACAATCCTAATTTATATATAGTTTTGCAATAGCTGTTTAGTATACCTGGATTGCTTTCTTGTTGAAATGGCCTAAATCAGCAAACATTGCCTCGGCTCCTGGATCAATTCAAGAGATTCAAAGTCATTTATCTTGACCGTTTTTCAAGCCCTTTTTTTGCATGGATTTTGCGCATGCATGTCTAGATTCATAATGAAAAATGTTTCCATCTGAAAACTCTCAAGAGTGAATAACATGAAAATTGAATATCTTTATTTGGGGGTACAATGTGTTTTGATCCCCTACATTAAGTTTTATTCAATTCTCGAATTTAGTTATTGTTCCACTTAATTAAGAATAACCAAATTACTAAAACCAAAATCAGATCTTCAAGTTAAGTAGCGTGAGTTGTACGCAACCGATTTTGACCAATTGACATGACTCTCTTTGATTGAAATAATAGTTAATATTCTCCGTCCCAAAAGAATAGTCCATATTGAGTTTTCAAATTTGTACTAAAAATAGTACAAAACTCAAAACTCAAAGTGGATTATTTTTTTGGGACGGAGGTAGTATATACTTTAGCAATAATTTCAAATATTTTCCAATTTAATGGCAGATCATAATGAAACAAAACACAAACTAAATCAAGGATCCATTAAAAGAAAAAAATTTACTCGAAAATTTCTCACGTCACAAAATAAAGTCATATTTGCTTAACTAATTTAGTTAAAAAACAACAACAAAAAAAAAACTAACTAAAACGACAGGAGTGGTAGTACATCACCTGTAATGCCTAAGAATACAGCACCAAGGATAGTCCATGCAACTTTTGAATCTCGTGAAACAATGAGCACAATGTAATGAGGAGAAATGGCTTTAAGCATCGAAGGATAATGCTTGCAAATGTTGAAGATTCCAATAGCACTGTTGGTCAAGAGCCAAAGTAGCATAATTGGAGAGAATATGAAGCTCACTTTGCTTGTTCCATAATATTGGAAAAGAAACAACAATATTAGCAGAACCACAGAGATGATAACAATATGGCCTGCAAAATTTAGTAAAAGACTCATGAGTTAAGTAAAAGAAAATGAACGGGGAAGCAAAAGACGGAAATGCTCCCGTTCTCAAAAAATTATTATACAATTTGAATTTTCACTTTTAGTATAATTTGAACTAAAACTGAAAATCCAAACTGGGCAATAATTTTGGGGGACGGAAGGAGTAATAAAATGACAATCTAAGTAATTAAAACCACCCCTATAACATCATGGAAAAACCAATCAATTCTTAATTCCGTCAAGAGTCAAGACGAGAGGCCAGTCAACTGTTGCAGGCTTAAACATGGTAAAATTTGTGTTTCGCTAACTAAAAATCCCACCTTGTGTTATCTTCGATGATAGTGATTGAATTCCTTGGATAGCTGACAGAACTGCAAATTTTGGGGAAAAAGATGTAGTAACTAGCAATTTAAAGGAAGAAGAAAAAGAATAAAATAGAGATCCCTCAACCTCTTTGCCCGTTCTTTTGTAATTATCGGATCATTTGTAAAATGATTTTTTTCCTTTGTCCTAAATTGATAGTCATATTTCTACCATTAAATTAATCCAACAATCTAACCGTTATTTTGGAATGGAGAAATTAAAATTTTACAGTTCGACTAAAAGTGACTATGAAAAATTTTTTCTACAAAAAAAAAAAAACAAGAAAAAGTGACTATGAGAAATTGAATAAAATGGTTTCGAATTAAATTTATTATAATCCGTAAGTCACTTAATCCATTAATAAATACTACCTTTGTCCAAAAACATTCACTTTAAATTTTGAAATTTGTACACAATATAAACTTTTTTTTTTTGTTTTGGAACAGAATAAATACATAATAATTATCATCAGTTAAATTTCAGATTTATGAAATTACCACAAGTTGCTGGAGTCAATGCTCCATCACCGATGACCATGCCGTTTCCCATCAAAACGATGAACACCAGAAAATTCTGTGCTTTGTGATTTTTCTCTAGAAACTTCCTAATCTTCAAACCTAGAGGACTAGTAACTCTTGTGGCTCTGCCATGGTATATCACATTTTCATTTTCAATTTCACTTCCCAAATTTCTACTTTGGTTATTGGTCAATTTCTTCTCCAAATGAATGTGTTTAGATAGATAGGAATAAAGGGCAAAAGTTCCACCTTCACCATTATCATTTGCATCAAGAACTATGAGCACATATTTGATCAAAACAATTATTGTCAAAGTCCAAAATAAAAGACTGAAAGTGGCAAGTAGATCTTCTTCCTTGAGGTTTGTTGAGGAAGTAGCGGAGAAGACATTGACTGGAGATGTGACAAGGTCTCCATATACAACTCCCAAAGATTGGTATGCCAACAATAATGTCTCCTTAATTGTATATTCCTGAGAAGAGATAAAGTATCAATTAAAAAAAAAAAAAAAAAAGAGTACGAAGTATGACCTTAAATGGCTAAATTGCATTGTGCCAAAACTGGTATGAGTATTTTGTTTTTAGTCCCTTCATCCTAGAAAAGTATTGAAAATAATAAAGAAGACTTCTTTTTTTTTTTTTAATGTATTTTGTTTTTAACTTCTAGTAATAAGCAAAGTTGGTTTTATTTAAAATTATTTTCATGAATTTGGCCATTTGATTGTGTATATACATTGTCATTTGTCTTGAAAGTGATCAAGCAAATCAAAATGTTGAAACATGTACATATAGAAGGCTTTTCTGCTTATATAAATGTAGATAAACTAACCTGATCGTTAGAGTACTACAAATCCCATATAATTGAAACTCTACAGAAATACCAACGAGTCTATTACAGAAATTGCATGCATTCATGTTTCTTGTAGGATATAGATTTAAAGAGAAAGCGGAGTGTTATCATTTACTCCTGTTGCCGTATACAACAAATACGACTTTTTTTTTTCTTTTTTCTTTTTTTTAAACAGAAGAAATATGTATGACTAGCCTTGGGGTTTTGAATTATGAATTCTTTGAACTAATTAAAGTAGCATAAAATTTCATCTATATATGAAATTAGGGTTTCTCTACTTCTTGCATACCTTGGTTGGAGACTGGTCCATAGCTGCCGGGTTGATGTCTTCTTGTTCAATGCCACCATTTTCATCATCGGCTTCTGTACTAATATTGAAGCTATGAGTGACATTCAAAACGTGCATTTTTTTGTGATCAATTCGCAAAGTCAATCCCCAAAAAATGATTCCCCCCCCCCCCCCCCCCCCTCCAAGCATGAAGTTGTGATAAAATAAAATAAAAAAAAAATGGTTCAAAGCATCAAAATGAATGAGGCATTGTGCCAATTCATAGCTATAAAAATTCGTGCATGTTATTGATAAGACAAGGTGATGTGCTGCTCAATCATATACGGTGCAAAAACATCGTCTATCTTAATATTTTTGTCGCAATGACCCCACATTTCGATCTTTTTTAGCCATCTTAGAAGGTCCTTACGTTAATCTATCCAAGAAATGCATATTTACTTGTTTGGGAAAATAAGATTGTGGAAGAATAAATGATTGGTCCCCGGGAATAAAATAAATCTTAGCCCATGGAGTTAGGGCATTAATTCCTGGTCCTTTTCTTCATTTTTATTTTTTCCTTTTTGTGTGAAAATGATAGAACATTCATTCCCATCAACTACAATTTTACAATTATATATGGCTTTTCTCATTCGCTTCTTTTAAAAGGAAGAATCCATTCTATATGATCCCACATTTATAAATATACATGTTCTATATACTAACCTTCGATTCTCAAAATATTACATATATATTTGTTGGGAGTGAAACACGTTATACTGATTAAAATAATTGTTGAAGTTGAAAGTTTTATCTCCCGAAATAGTTTATTCGAAAAGAGTTTAGTTTGATTGTGATATGTATTTGTCCAAGAATTTTTCATGATTAAAAGGAAGATATATCTCTTAACTAGCTACTTATATATATATATATATATAAATAAGTATATTTAGTAGCAAATTTAAGTAGTTCTGTAAGAATACTTTTTCATGATGGTTACGACTTACGTGAAAAGAGAAAGTTGATCCCTAATGTACCAGGAATAACTACATTATTTTTATTTTTTTTTTGAGCCGTTGCTTTACAAATTTCACGTATGCTTGCTAAAGCCGACACTCTTTAACTTTGTTTGGTAAACATCTCGATGAATTCATGAATAGATAAATTTAAAAACATATTAAATAAAGTAATGTAATACATAAATATAAGCCATTATTTATTAGGGCCAATTTCCTAATTTTGTAGTAATAATTTGTTCTTTTTTCTCTTACATATATATATATATATATTATATTATTATTATATATATATATTAAAGGAGAGTTTTCAATCGGGCACATGACGTAAAATTAGATAGAGTAATACACACGGCAAAAAATTAGATAGGCAAGTCCTCATGTCGCACTAACGTCACTCCATCATTTAATGGTAATTTTTATTTGTAAATTTGTAAAATTTATAAATGACTAATTTTATCCGATTTAAAATCTATAAATAACCCATTAAATATTTTTTATTTATAAATCTTATATATAAATTACCAATTCTTTTTTAGTACCAAAAAGTGTTTGAAAAAAACAAAACAAAGAAAAGAGAAAAAAATTACGTCAAAATATTTCTTCATGAACCAAAAGGCAATTTATTGGTTGCACCTGGAAGCACCATGTTTTCCCTCTTAGTTTTTGCACTATTAGTCTTTATTGTATTTTTTTCTCAATCTTTCTATAATTTGCAAGTTTGGTCCATGTCACTTTTTTCTCTCTCCTAAAAAGAATATCTCTAATCATCAAACGATCATATCTCTCAATCCGTGAAGAATTAGAAAACGTATTACATATGAATTTTATAGTATTTGTCGAAATCTATCCAATAAGATCCATATAGAATATTTTTTCCGGACTTAAAAATGATTAAATTTCGATGGGCAGAAATAAGGCAGATTGGATATCCACTTTAAGAATATGGACAACCAACTTATTTTTAATTGGTTATCCATTTGTATTCATACTAATTATCCAATCAGCTTGAACTGGTTATCCATTTTGTTTGTACTGCTTATCCATTTGGTTTGCATGTCTATCCAACTTGTTTTATAGTTATAATCCAACGGATTTGTATGCATATCCATTTGGTTTGTACTGGATATCCATGCATTTGGTTTGTATGCATATCCAACTTGTTTTGTAGTTGTAATCCAACGGATTTGTATGCATATCCAACTTGTTTGTACTGGATATCCAACTTTTTTGTACTGGATATCCATCCATTTGGTTTGTACGACTATCCAACTTATGCGTACTGGTTATCCAACGGATTTATATGCCTATCCAAATTATTTGTACTAGTTATCCAACCATTTTTTTTGTTTAGAAAAAATTATTGTCCAATACGCTAATACTTGTTATCAATTTTTTTTATACTACTTATCCAATCATCCATCTTTTTTTCCTTTGAAACATGGTTATCCAATATGCTCGTAGTGATTGTCCAATCGCTTTGTATTGGTTATCCAATTATTTAAACTGCTTGACTAAATAAGTTTGTATTGCTTGTCCAATCATTTTTTTTTCTTTTGAGAAAATGCTTGTCCAATTAATGTGTTCGTACTGATTATCCAACCCCGTGCTATTGTTTCTCCAGCTATTTTGTTTTTATTTTTATGAAAATAATTGTGCGATATGTTTGTACTTTTTATCCAACTAATTGGTACAACTTATCCAACCTAATTTTTTTTTCTTAAAATGGTTATCTATTGTGTTCATACTGATTATTCGGCTGGTTTGAACTGATTATCCATTTCGTTTGTACTGGTTATCCAATCATTTTTTTTAAAATCATTGTCCAATGTGTTGATATTGATTATCCAATTAATTAGTACTGTTTATCCAACCTAGTTCTTTTCTTTTTATTATACTTTTTTTTTGAAAAAAGAATGGTTGTCCAACAGTTTCATATTGATTATCCAACTGCTTGGTATAGATTATCCGACCATTTTTTTCTCTACTCTCTGCGAAAATCCTTGTCCAATTTTTGTATTGAATATCCAACCGTTTGGTATTGGTTATCTAATCGTTTTCACAGATTGTCCAAATATAATTTCTTTTCTTTTTTTCTTCTTTTGCTAAAGAATCTGTCCAATGTGTTTGATAAGGTCGATATTAGCGTAACATTTATGGTAATTTATGTGTCATTTTGAATGGTATCTATGCTAATAATGGTGTTTTGTGCTTAATTTTATCATGGAAAGTGATTTAGATGAAAAGGATGTAAAAGTGTTGATTTTGGAAGACTTCTAAAGCTTTTGTGGAACAGAATTATGCTCATGGGCAGAAGCAAAGTTGATCACGTTGAAGAACAAGCTGAAAATTTTGTTCAGGGACTAAAATGCAAAATTGAGAAAGTTTTGGGGGAAAATACAATTTCTTTAAACTTTAGGTACCAAATTGAAATTTTGGGAAACTTTGAGGGAAGCAGCGGTTTTGGACGAATTAGTTACTTAATTCCTAAGTTCTTGGAGGGAAAAAATGCCGTTCCTATCCAAAACTTTGCCCTCGTCGTCAATCATACCCGATACATTTTCGGTTAGCCAACTTTACTCTAATGTTTGAAATTTTCGCCAATTTCATCCAATCGGTCCATTTTCCGTCCAAATTAACGGATCTCCGTTAGCTTTTTTAATAAAATAATGAATTTATTTACAAAAATACCCCAGTAATTTTAAAATTTTTAAAATAACTCTTAAAATATATAAAAATAACAAAACAGTCCCTTTTTAATTTTTTGTTTTATTTTTTTTTCTATTTTGTTCCATTTCTCTCAACTACTTTTAATGACCATAAAAGTATATTATATGAGTTTTAAAAAATAATTTATTTATTTTCAAACTCTACCGTAAAAATTAATTTGTATAGTTGTAATCCATGATTGTATTTATATAAGCATGTTAATTTTTTTAATAATATAGTTTACCAATAAAGACACTATTTTTCTAATTTATTTTATTCTTCATAACATAAAGATTAAAAACATTTAAATGAAACTAATATTCCACACAAAAATAAATATTAGCTCAAATAAACAAAATATTAATATATTTTAGTGTATTACAATTTAACTCAAGAGACTATAACTTGCATGATTATAAATCATAAATAAAATATAAAATAATTAAGACACTATTTTTCTAATTTATTTTATTCATCCTAACATAAAGATTAAAAACATTTAAATAAAACTCATATTCCACATAATAATAAAATATTAGCTCAAAAAAATATTAATATATTTTAGTGTATTACAATTTAACTCAAGAGACTATAACTTGCATTAATATAATTCATAAAAAAATAACTAAATATAAAATAATTATAACCTTAAAAAATTTCTCCAAACATAAGTTTTCCTTCTTGAATCTAAAACCTATGTTCTATCACAACAACTTATTACCATATTTTTATCTCCATTCATTTATTTTAAACTAAAATCATATAGAATAAGCTAGTAAAACTTCCTCTATAGTTAGATATATTAACGTCTCAAATAATTATTACAAAATGTTAAATCCTCGCATTGATAAGTATAAACATATTTTTTATAAATTATATTATGCCATGTAGTCTCTCTAGTTAAACTATAACACACTAAACTATATTAATATATTATTTTTTATTTGAGCTAATATTTTATTTTTATGTGGAATATTAGTTTTCATTTAAATATTTTTAATTTTTATGTTAGGAAGAATAAAATAAATCAGAAAAATAGTGTCTTTATTGCTAAACTATATTATTAAAAAGATTAACATGCTTATATAAATACAATCATGTGTTACAACTATACAAAGATTAACTTTTACGGTAGAGTTTGAAAATAAATAAATATTTTTTTAAAACTCATATAATATACTTTTATGGTCATTAAAAGTAGTTGAGAGAAATAGAACAAAATAGAGAAAAATAAAATAAAAAAGTGAAAAGGGACTATTTTGTTATTTTTATATATTTTAGGAGTTATTTTTAAAATTTTTACAAACTACTTGAGTGTTTTTATAATTAAATTTATTATTTTATTAAAAAACTAGCGGAGATCCGTTAATTTGGACGGAAAATGGACTGATTGGACGAAATTGGCAAAAATTTCAAACATTAGGGTAAAGTTGGCTAACCGAAAATCTATTGGGTATGATTGACGACCAGGGCAAAGCTTTGGGT